TGTATCAATAGCATCAAGTTTTGGGCATGAGCCTCAACTGACAGATGGCACACTCACAGGTCTGAAAGCTCCAAGAGTACTCTGCTAGGACCAAGTTTCAGCTGGCCCAAAGTTGTGCATACATCATTAACAGCCACAACTGTGGTGGAAGGAGGATGTCAGGTTATACAATATGTCCTGCTGGGTTCTCGTCCAATATAGTAAACTACTGGTGCAATGCTGTCAAAGTTGAAGTCAGTACAGGCCAAGAGAGTGCGTGGACAGAGGAGGTGAGATCACGGGAGTCAACTGGGATCTTCTTGATGCAGGCCTCAACCTGTCCTTATAGAGAGAGAGGAGTAAACATCCTCCAAATTGGTGGTTAGCACTACTGCTAGGATGCATCAAGGGAATTAATACTTCAAGAGTGATACATCGTTCAGATCTATCTTGCCAGACCTGTGCTCTATGATGCATAGACTTGACATCCAGCTGTGAAATTGGACAGTGGCTTTCTGTGAGCTTTTGTCTTTGAGGCCTTCCTGGCTGACTTTCCATTGGATTGAACTGAGGTGTTGTGGGGAGGCCAGGAGAGTCTCTTCAAATGCCACGCCAGGACACAAATGCCCCAAACGATGCAACTGTCAGACTAATTAGCTGTGATTCACCCTGAAACTCCTCCAAGAGAGGTCACTGTTCATTAGTTGACAGACATACACCTATATTGGATGTTTCCTGATCTTATGGGGCTGCTATTTTTGACATTTTGCTGAGAAATAAAAGAGGAAGAAGAAAAAAAGGCAAAACCTGGAAAGATAACAAGCCCTAAAACTCCCTTTAGTGACCACAGTAAGTTTTTTTAAAGTCTAGAATGAGACCAAAAAAAAGGAAGAAAGAAAATGTTTCAGCCAGGTGGCTGAGTGATATTGAGCTCACAGTTCTGACTCCAGGTCAGTCAGCAGCAGTTCAGCCGTGGAAGCCTTTTCAGTATCAATGGCAAGAAAAGGACCAAATGTTGTTGGCACTAGAGGTCACTATGGGTATTTCTACACTGCAATTAAATACCTGCAGCTGGCCTGCGCCAGCTGGCTTGGACTGCGGGCCTGGAAAATTGAGGTGTAGAAGTTTGGGGTCGGGCTGGAGCCTGGGCTTTGGGACCCTCCCCCTTTGCAGGGTACCAGAGTGTGGACTCCAGCCCGAGCCTGAACATCTATACTCCAATTTTAGAGCCTCGCAGTCCAAGCTCACACAGGCCAGCCACAGGTATTGTAGTGTACAAGTATCCTATGGTGCCACAGCAGGGGCAACCCGAGGTGTCTTCTGACTGGATATAAAGCTGTTTGATTTTTGAGCTATGGAAGTTCTCCACAGCTAAGAGCATGGACATAGGAGTGTTCTGTTATCACTACGCTTTGGTGAATGCGCTCTCAAACGTGTGTGTATATTTAAGTAAAGAAACGATTACTGATTAGGCATCAAGTTTAGCATCAAACCTCTCAGTCCACAAAAGAGGTGCTTAAACTCTATATTTGTCTCAAACTTTTCAAGAACTAGTTTCAAAGTAGCTGTAGATAAGCAAGATATTTAATATTCTGCCTCGAGGGCTGCCAACGAAATTACCAGTTAAATTCCAATTCCAGAATTTCTACATCACTTTTCACGCTAACAATGCTTAGAATTTGAGGAGCTGTTAGAGGTCTACTGTGTGGCGAGAGTTAATCAAGAGCAGACTGGATAAAACACTTGTAAATATTCTGTGGGGCTTATACTTCACATATCAGGAGATGGACTCAGAATTATTCTGCAGAAAACAAATAAAGCCATGGAACTCAGAGATTAAAAGATATGCAGACAAGTTGCAAATGCTTACCTCAATTTATCACAGAAAATGTTGTCTACATTCCAAAAAAAAATCCCATTAAAAATACACTTAAGGACGTATAGCCCAGACCCCTAAGCCATGGGTATACCCTAGGGGGAGAGAAGCAAAGTGAAATTTAGTTTTTAGGATACAAACTGCATTTAAAGTAACATACATAAATTACACTATTTACAAGTTAAATGCCTGGTGGAAAAAAGTTTAAAATTCCTTTAACAGGACACCAACTTGAAATCTAATCACGTTTTCAAAAGTGAATTAAAGGTACAGTACTGTCAGGTAAAACATATCCCAAGTCCCTTGCTATTTTGGGGTGATCACTCATATTTTTCCCCTAGACGTTTCTTACCCCGACAGCTAGGTGTGAAAAAACCCCAACACAAACAAGAGAGGAAACAATTAAACTGGCTATTCCAATGCACGGACTAAACCGAAAGAATTTCCCCCCCTCTCGAATCTCTTTCAGTTCTTCTTTGGTACTACTACTAACAGTGATAGGTAAGAGTGTTTCAGACAGAAATGTTGTGGGTTGTTGGTTTTTTTAAGTAGCTTGTGTCCCTTTTACATTCAAAGCAAAAATTATTTCAGCCTTTTGATAAAGCGGCATACCAAAGCCAATCACTAGCTCAGCAGGCAGTTTTAGAAAAAGTCATTTCAGATTGTGTTTTACCAACAAGAGCCATTAGGAAAAAAATCCTATTTAGGATACAAGACAAATGTGCTGAAGAACCACAGATGCAAGGCAGCACATCGTTCATAAACCCAATCTTCCTGTTTGCATTCATGTAGGCCAGAGAATCATTAACTTCTTAGGTGAAGTTTGTTCCTTTGACAGCACTAGGACAAGTCCTCATAAATATCCAATTCCAACCCCAAGAAGCTACCATGAAACACAGTTCATGTTATTTTTAATCACCATGAATACACAGTTCAGATTTTGGCTTAAGATGCATTCCTGAGTTGCTTATTGTCTTTTGCATTATTTTTGTCACTGATTTAACATCTGTAGAAACAGCAATATCACCGATCAGAACATATCCTGTATCAAGACAAATGGACAGGGCATTTTAAATGTAAATAAAATTCGTTGACAGTAGTGTTCCCTGTTAATGTACATTTTGGAGTTATGGAGTTTAGTGATTGGCATTAGGCGTGTGGTTTATGAGCTTGTAGATATTTTTTCCTCAAGACAAACACATCAGCCACGCACTGCCTGCGTTACTGAGGGGTAAACACAAAACCCATTCACGTCACCAGCAGATTGATTTCTAACGAGCATTTATTCAGTCCCATAAATATAATAGGCAAGCTTAGCCAAAGCACCAAAACGTCCTTACCCAAAGAGCTTACTTCCTAAGGGCACGAGTTAGCTGAACATATGCACGAGCAGAGAAAGGCATACGTGATATACTGTTAATTACAGCTGGAATGGCTCATTAAATTGGTGAGGTTATGTGTTTCATGGAGGAGGAAAGAGAAGGGGGTTTACGTGCATTATTAACTGAGAGTCTGGTCCACGAGCACAGGGCAGCATAAATGAAGGGACAACGTGGGACTGGGTGAAAGAGACCCCCAGGCAATCAGACTAGGAGGGGTGCGGGGAATGAGAGGTGAATGGTGAGGAGACACAGGTAGAAGCATAGTTCTGAAGAGTTCTGGAAGTAAGACGCCAAAGCAGGAGTCTAAGGAAGGGGGGCTCAATTTGAGTCATAGAAGACAAAGATCTTAGGGGCTGGGTTTGGATGGATTTGAGGAAGAGAAGATATGTGGGGGGGGAAGTAGGTAAAGGAAGGATATTTTTGCAGTTAGGCACTAGACTGCCTCAAGACAGCAGAGTTCAAGAAGGGATGAATTTTGGGAATGTGGAAGAAGTAACTACAGGATATGGTGAGGGTCTGGATAGGAGAGAAGGAGAGAGTGATTGAATGCTGTCAAGTATTGGGTAAGAGAGGAAGGTGGGGTAAGTGAAGGAAAGGTTTGGTTTTACACATTTTAACTGGGGTGACAGCAGAATATACGAGATAAGATATTGGAAAGATAGGCAGAGTTGTTGGGATTTACAGGGCTGGAAAGATAGTAAACCTAAGCTGAAAACACTTTTTATGTTAGAAAAACTCAAGATGGATATATATTGCTCAGAGCTAAGAAGTATCTGAACCCCTGAGAGAAAAGATCACTCAAGCAGGAGACACATAAAAGAGAGGAGAGCGCACAAAGTGAACCTAGAAACTTAATTTAACATATTTATTCACACTGGCTGCTCTTCCTATTTCTTCAGTTTTGCCAAGAGACAGTTTTCTCTGGCTCTCAGTTCTTCCAGCACTTTTGATACCATTCCTTTTAATTTTTGGTGAAAAAAAATTAAATTCCGAACTTCACATATATCATACTTTACCCATTCAAAAACAGTAACTTCAACAAAACTTTTACCTTTTAGCATCCAAGTACTTTACATGCTAATTTTAAGTACTGGGCTGCAGGGAAAACATTAACTGAAGTGCTTAACCCCGTGACTGACCCCCAACTTCAGCCAGCTACTAGACTTATTGTTTGCGCATTGGCAGTATTTGCAGTACTTTACAAAACAAAGGAAGATAGAGTTCCTGTGCCTGAAGGAATCTACAAACTACCGGTCCAGACATCGATCAGGACTGTGTGTGGTCTAGGCTTGCCTGAAGGTACACACTAAGGGTTTATCTACACTATGCACCTTTTAGCGACACGGCTGTGCCACTACAGCTGTGCGTGCAGTGTAGCCTCTGTTTGTCGGCGGGAGAGCGCTCTCCTGCTGACAAAAAACTTACACCCCCAATGAGTGGCAGTAGCTTTGTCGGCAGGAGAGGCGCTTTTCGTTGGCAAAACTTTTGGGGTGCGTGTGTGTGTTTTTAACACCTCTGAATGACAAAAGTTGTTGTTGTTCAATTGCCAGTGTAGATAAAGCCTAACTTCAATCAGATATCTTTATTGAAAGACATGAATCACTCCTCCATTACCACAAGACAGAGAGCATATGACCTTGCATCTCTCACTCATTTAGAGAAGTGGTCAGCAATGCCAGTTTCTCATGTTAAGTTGTTTTTAAAATGCACACCTCTAAGGGCTGGTCTACACAGGGGGAGGGAATCGATCTAAGATACGCAACTTCAGCTATGAGAATAGCGTAGCTGAAGTCGACGTATCTTAGATCGATTTACCTCGGATCCTCACGGCGCGGGATCGACGGCCGCGGCTCCCCCGTCGACTCCGCTTCCGCCTCTCGCTCTGGTGGCTTTCCAGAGTCGACGGGAAGCGTGTTCGGGGATCGATTTATCACGTCTAGACGAGACGCAATAAATCGATCCCCGATAGAAATATTACTACCCGCCGATCCGGCAGGTAGTGAAGACGTGCCCTTAGATGCAAACACCTAGTTAGAACATATCTACTTGTAATGCTGAGCTAAATAAACAGTCACTTACCACAATACAATATATACAGACCGAAGTACAATAATAGAAACCAGTGCTCCATACACAATCTGCAGGAAAGCGGAGATAAAATTCAACGTTAGTGTGTCACAGGCAGGTATTATTGTGTTTGTATACCATCCTAACGCAAAAGAAAACTAAACGTTTGTTGGTTTATCACCTATAGTATCTTTACTGACTTTTTCAAACCATCATTTTGTCTATTCCTCAGTATAGAGAATAGTTTTTCCCCTTTAAGTTTCCAAACAAAAGAAAAACAAAAACAAAGCAACAATACAAAATGCCTCCCAGAATAGAAGCGTGATTATATCCAGGCCCAACTGTTGGAGAGGTTTAGCTCTTTTTCTGGAGATAGGAAAAACCAGATTTCAGAGACACGTCAGGAATTGAATTAGAAAGCAAGCACTAGGCAGCACTCTTTATCCTAGGTTTCAGAGTAGCAGCCGTGTTAGTCTGTATCCGCAAAAAGAAGAACAGGAGTACTTGTGGCACCTTAGAGACTAACAAATTTATTAGAGCATAAGCTGGGCTGTAGTCCACGAAAGCTTATG